TCCCACCCTTGACATGCGTGGATTCTGGGGATTACAGTTCAAGGTGAGGTTTGGGTGAGGAGACAGAAGTAAACCATATCACCTGTTACATACCCACATGCCTTGCCCAGTACCAGTAAACTCAATTCCTTCAAATGCAGGAGTTCCATCTCAGGACATAAGACATATATTAGCTACTGGTCACTCTCTGAGCAGCACATTGTCAACTTCTCACTGTTGAGTGCCCTTTTGATATTTCAAACGTGTAGAGTGACAAGTGAGACGCCACATCTATTTTGTTTACCATTGTGATAACGTTTTTGACTTTTTCTCCTCAATTATAGTTGGGCTTGGCAGAAAATTGCAGACTCAAAGCTATTGTTTTCCTCACAGCACAGTTATTATGTTCTTTAACTAAATTCAGGTATCCTCATTAAAAATCCAATGTTAATTTTACAATCACTTTTTCCAGGAATCTTACAATCTCTCTTTGTTTTAGGCTACTTTACTTCTGTATTCATTGTATTTTAAAACACTATGATATATCCATGTGTAGACATACTTGCCATTTTATTTCACTCTGACTTGGTATTTATTAAGCTATTAAACCTGATGACTAATGCCTTTCCCCAGTTATAGGACATTCTCAGTCATTATCTCTTCAAAAACTATCTTACTATTATTTTATTTCTTAACTGATTTAAAACATTCTTAGTCATACATTGAGTTTCATTGATCTATTCTGTTCTTTTTAATGTGATAGTTACCAATTCATCTTTTTGTGTAGTATTATTGTAATTTTCAATAGGGTCATCTTTTCACCAATTTGTTCATCACTTAGTATTACATGCTATTCAACCCCTGCATCAAACATTAATTCCAGGGCCAGAATGTCTGGCTACAAACCCTTGAGCAAGTTACTTCAATTCTATGTGCCTCAGTATCTCAATGAAGGCAATTATATTAAATACTTTGTTTTATTATTCTGGGCTAATGTTTGTATTTACATATATTTCTTTCCTTTTTTTTACTCATATAGCTAGTCCAGACTCTCAACTCCATTTATCTAGATTGTTCTAACAGTTTTCTATTGCATTCTTTGAAAAAAATGTAATTTTGTCTACAGTTTATATTCATCTCATATATCACTGCTCTATGCATGTTATTATTTGGCACACAATCAATCCTAGATTATTTTCTCAGGCTAAAGTCTACCTATCTGTCAGACATGTGGTACCCATCATTATACAGACTTATTTTTATGATTTATTTTTTTTTCCTATTTCTCTACCCACATACTTAATCCAGATGCAGGTTTTTATTCACTGTCTAACAAATACATCATATACCTTCTGCTCTGTATTTTTCTTGCTAATTAATTCAATTACTTTCAGATTATTGCAATCATTATTTGTGATTTTATATTTTATTAAAAGTGTTGGCTGGACACGGTGTCTTATGCTTGCCACCACAGCCCTTTGGGAGGCCAAGGTGGGCGGATCACCTGAGGTCAGGAGTTTGAGACCAGCCTGCCCAATATGGCGAAACCCTGTCTCTACTAAAAATACAAAAAAAATTAGCCAGGCATGGTGGTGGGTGGCTGTAATCCCAGCTACCCGGAAGGCTGAGGCAGAAGAATAGCCTGAACCCAGGAAGCAGAAGTTGCAGTGAGCTGAGATCGCACCACTGCTCTTTAGCCTGGGCAGCAAGAGTAAAATTCTGTCTCAAAAAAAAAAAAAATGTTGAGTACACAAAGATGAATAAGTCATGATTTACTCTAAATGCTGAAATCACAGACGTAAAACTATGTAAACAATTTTAGTATAAAGTGATATGCACCATAATGAAGGTTTTCTACTTCAGTCTGTACTGTAAAATGTCTATGCTTCTTTTAAATTATGGAATTTTCATATGCACTAAGCAGTTACAGAGAATGATATGACAAATATTATTTTTACTACTTTGAATTAGAAAATGTCTACATTTTGTCACATTTATTTCAGATCTTACTATTCTGTAATCAAATTAGTTTGGTCCAATTGTCTAGTCACTAGAGATAGTCATCCTTGTAATTCCCAAAGACATTTTTGTAATATTCATCTGCTACTGTAAAATATGAAAGAGGCTGTGCATGCTTTAGCTAATTTTTGACAGTACAAATGAGCCTAAGTGTAAGTAGCAATGACATTTTATTCTGAAAGTTTGGTAATAGATAAGCCCATATTAATAGCCTCCTTTAGGTTGGTGCTGACTCATCTTCACAATCAGAAATGCTTCAAGATTAACTGGCTCCTTGCATACAATTCATTTTCTAAGACTTGCCACATTTCTTGGCAAAAATTAAACCCTTTCCAGGATGACTGATAGAATGAAACTCTATTTCCTTTTGTAGATACTTCTGTTTCCCTCCCCCAGTAATGTGTCTGTCTCCAACTAGTCTGATATGTGGCCTAAATATTCGATAATAAAACTCTATGTGCCTGAGACTTTGAATGATTCAATTTTAAATAATACTGTATTTGGTACATTGTCATCTTTCCTCTAATAAAATTGATATGAAGATTGTCTCCATATCTTACCTATTTTTAGTTTTTTTCTTTATTAATATCTTTCTTGCAGCTATTGATCCAAACATACAAACCCAAGAAAGCCATAAACATGTGTTCACATATACCAAGACAGTGGAAAAAACTGAATAAAGTAATATATTTTAGGCAAAGTGTTGTCTAAACACAAATGTTGGAGGAGTTTATTTCCCAAATAGAATGTTGAACTACTCAGGTTGAAGTATAAAAATTTATTAGGGGTGTGATGGCTCATGCCTGTAATCCCAGCACTATGGAGGCTGAGGTGAAAAAATCACTTGAGGTCAAGAGTTCTAGACCAGCCTGGACAACATAGCAAGAACCTGTCCCTAAGAAAAACAAACAGGCAAACAAACAAAAATATTTACTAGGTTGAAACATGTGAAATTAATATATTGTCCTGTTTTCTTTCTTTATGTTTTATCTTTTTTTTTTTAATCTTTCTTTCACATAAACAATAGATTATCAGGAACATTTTCAAGTGTTTTCACAAAAAAATTGGATTGCTTCAATATACCTAAGGCTATCTTGACAACAAAGATTTGGAACCCAGTTTGTAAAAAGAAAAATTATTGGGGATCAAACCTACCTAAAGATAAAGTAGAATGCATTCCGTTTTAGAAGAAAGAGTATACATTAAACATTTTGCAGACATTTTATAGCTTCAATACTTCAATTATGTCCTAATCAGGTATTTTGTTACAGGCAAGTATACAAGATATTACAAGCAAAGTACACAAAACATATAACAATTGTATAGTATATTTTAAAATATGATATATAACACTTAAAATATACACCGATGTGGACCAAAATGAAATTAAAGGACAATGTGGTAAACGGGCTAAAGACATAAATCTACAGAGTTTCTAAAGCAAGCATTTAAAATGTGTATGTTTCGGCCAGGTGTGGTGGCTCACACCTGTAATCCAAGCACTTTGGAGGCCAAGGCGGGCAGATCACCTGAGGTCGGGAGTTCAAGACCAGCCTGACCAACATGGTGAAACCCTGTCTTTAAAAAATAAGAAAAATAAAAAATAAATAAAAATAAAAATAAAAATGTGTATGTTTCAGGTGAAAGAATCCAAGCCAGTCTTACTACAGAAAACAGAAAACTTGCATATATCAAAATAAACAATGATATATAAGGTAAATGTTATATAATATAAAGAAAATGTAGTCATGTTAATATATAAAACATAAATTAAAATACAAAGGCCAAAAATAAAAAAATAGTAACAAGCATGCTAATAAGGCTATGAATTCATAAACATATATAAAAATCTCTAACCTATAATACCTAACAACATAAACTTGTTAGAAACAAAGTACAAATGACATATTTATAACAAAAATATTTAAAATGTATAACCACAATGGAAGCTTTTAATATACTAGTCTCAGAAGTATTTGTGTTTCAAGGAAACAGAATTTTGAATTGTATTTGTAAATCTATGGAAAGCAATATTTTAATAAGTAAGAGGTATTAAGAACATATATGACCCTTTGCAGCCATGGGTCAATAAAATTAAAAGCTAGTTTCCTTGATGACTAATTGTTTAGACACACTTTCCAAAGGACTAAGAGGAAAACATATTATACAAATAAACAATATTTAAACAAAACCCACATATCAGCAAACAAACAAACCTAAAAATCATCAAAACAATCATCATAAATAATTGTCACTTATTCTGAAATTGTAGATGAGATAGTCAAATCTGAAGAAAAATATATTTTCAAAATTTTTAAGAATAAATAAATATTGAAATAACTATTAAAATTATATTACTAAAAAATTGTGCAAAAAAGTCTCTCCCTCCTCCAGGAAAAACAACAAAATCAGGTGATTTTACTGAAAATTCATAAAAATTCAAAAACTTAATGAATAGAAAAAATGTGAGATGTGTATACCACTCATTTTATGAGTTACAGTGTGTTGAATACTGTCCTCCAAAAATTCACACCTATCCATACCTCAGAATGTGACCTTATGGTCACAGGGTCATTGCAGATATATTTAGCTAAAATTAGGTCAATTTGGATTAGGATGTATCTTAAATTCAGTGACTGATGTCTTTGTAAGACAAAGAATAAGACTTAATCAGAGGATCAACATTGACACATAGCAAAGAAGGCCACATGAAGACAGAGGTGGAGATTAGAGTGATGAAGCTACAAACCTAACAGCCTTAAGAATTGCCAACAAATATCAGAAGCTAGGGAGGGGAAATGCAGGTTGTTTTCACAGATTCTTCAGAAGAAGCACTGTCCTGCTGACATCTTGATTTCATATTTCTTAACCTCCAGAACTGTGATGTAATACATTTCTGCTATTTTGTTTCGTTTACTTATAATAATAATTATTATTATTGAGACAGTCTCACTCTGTTACCCAGGCTGGAGTGCAGTGGCTTGATCTTAGCTTACTGCAACCTCTGTCTCCAGGGTTCAAGCTATCCCCCTGGCTTAGTCTCAGGAGTTGCTGGGATTACAGGCATTTGCCACCATGCTCAGCTAATTTTTCTATTTTTATTAGAGATGGGGTTTTGCCATTTTGGCCAGGCTGGTCTCGAACTCCTGACCTCAGGTGATTCTCACCCCTCAGCCTCCCAAAGTGCTGGAATTAGAGCCATAAGCCACCACACTCTGCCCATTTCTGTTATTTTCAGTTCTCCACCACCTAGTTTGTAGTAGTTTTCTTTCTTTTTTTTTTTTTGGCAGCCACAGGAAGCTAATGGGAGAGGGTAGCATGGCTATTCTCCTAAACCAATACAAGGATAAAAGGAGAAAAGTATAAGCTTATTTTACTTACGATATTAGATGAAAAAAATAATTTTTCTTTATATTGTATAAAACAGAGAAGATAGTAGGATACAGCTATGTGAATAGCTTCTAAAAATCAAGAAGAAAAAAAGTAAACAAATATTTAATTAAAGTGGAAAAATTTTTGACCAAAATATATATGAAAATATGTTCAACCTGATTAATAATGAAGTGAATGCAAATTAAAAGATTTTTTTTTTCTGCATCCAAGAAGATAGGCCAAAATTAAATTTCTTACTGCACTTGTTTAGAAAGATTAAAGGAGCAAAAGATACTAGCATCAGAGTAAACAGGCAACCTACAGAATGGGGAAAAAATTTTGCAATCTACCCATCTGACAAAGGACTAATATCCAGAATCTATGAGGAACTTAAACAAATTTACAAGAAAGAAACAATCCCAACAAAACATAGGCAAAGAACATGAACAGATCCTTTTCAAAAGAAGACATTTACGCAAACAACAAACATACGGAAAAAAGCTCATCATCACTGATCATTAGAGAAATGCAAATCAAAACCACAGTGGGATACCATCTTATGTCAGTCAGAATGGTGATTATTAAAATGTTAGGAAATGACAGATGCTGGTGAGGCTGTGGAGAAATAGGAATGCTTTTACACTCTTGGTGGAAGTGTTAATTAGTTTAACCATTGTGGAAGACAGTATGGCAATTCCTCAAAGATCTAGAACCAGAAATATCATTTACTGGATACATAACCAAAGGATTATAAATCATTCTACTATAAAGAGACATGCATGCATATGTTTATTGCAGTACTATTTACAATAGCAAAGGCTTGGAATCAACCCAAATGCCCTTCAATGATAGACTGAATAAAGAAAATGTGGCACATATGCACTATGGAATACTACACAGTTATAAAAAGAATGAGATCATGTTCCTTGCGGGGACATGGATGAAGCTGGAAGTCATCATTCTCAGCAAACTAATACAGGAAGAGAAAACCAAACACAACATATTCTCACTCCTAAGTGGGAGTTGAACGGTGGGAACACATGGACACAGGGAGGAGAATATCACACACTGGCCTGTTGGGAAGTGGGGGGAAAGGGAAGGGAGAGCATTAGGACAAATACCTAATGCATGTGGGCTTAAAACCTAGAGGACAGGTTGATAGGTGCAATAAGCTACCTTGGCACATGTATACTTATGTAACAAACCTGCACATTCTGCATTTGTATCCTGGAACTTAAAGTAAAATTAAAAAAAAAAAAAAGAAAGATGAGAGGAAAGTGAACCTTATATACACTTCCATTAGTATTGTAAGTTTTTAGAATTATTTTGCTAAGCATCTTTGCAAAATTTAGAAGAAAATTATACTTACTCAGCTATTATGCTTACAGGAATATATTTTTATGTACACAAAAAACACGTATGTGTTTTAATGTCAGAATAAATATAATCTAAAACTAATATGTATTAATATATACTTTGGCATAAGGAAATGTTGTAGCTGGTTTGATTTTCTATCAAAACCACTCAATAGTATTTATTGCCATACAGTGAAAATGAATACACTATGTTTAAACAGATTACATTTTTATATATCAAAGAGGTTACATTTTCTAACTCTAATGTTGAGTCAGAAAAACAAACTGAAAAATAAGCCATAATTTTTTCACCATCTTATACATTTTAAAAGGTTGATAATATTTTTAAGATTTTATATATATATATATATGTATACATATTCATAGAGAAAACATAGAAAGCATAGATTAAATAGATAAATTCTAATTGATGGTAATTATTTCTTCCAGTGAGAGGTAAGGTAATAGGATTATACTTAAAGGGAAACAAGGGAAAAGTCAAGCTGATTTTTACTATAAATTTTAAAAATAACTCTAAATTTTATATTTTATGTTTATTCCCCCCTATATATATCAGTGTTTTTGGTTTTCATACTACACTAACTTGATTTTTACATATATTTTAAAGTATTCCCTAATTTTATTGCCAATTTCAATCATATTTTCCCACAATTGACTCTTCATTTGAGGCTCTGTGACAAATCTACATCTCTTCCAATTTCCCTTTGAATTTATTTTAATTTTCTCCTATGAGAATTTTTTCATCTCCTTGAGTATACATAGTTAGTTATTAAATTCTCTTTTCTGTTTTCCTTTAGATGTTTTAATTTAAGTCTTTATTGAATTTGTGCTTAAAATATCAGGAGAGAAAAATAAACTTATGCTAATTTTCAAATGGCTGCCATACCATAAACTTTGAGAAAAACCATTTTTGAGAAATCACCTATACCCTAAGGAGACGAAGAGAAAGTAAACAAAAATTAAAAAAAATAAATGACTCTTCCAAAAAGAAATGCTCAAAGTTTAACCTACATTACACATGTGTACACAATGAGTGTATATCCTACAGACTACATTTTCAAAATTTTCATTAAAAAATTAGGACATTCCAGCCTGGCATGATGGCTCACACCTGTAATCGCAACACGTTGGGAGGCCAAGGTGAATGGATCACCTGAGGTCAGGCATTTCAGACCAGTCTGACCAACATGGTGAAACCCTGTCTTTTAAAAATACAAAAAATTAGCTGATTACGATGTAGGGTGCCTGTAATCCAGCGACTCGTGAGGCTGAGGCAGGAGAATTGCTGGAATCCGGGACGCGGAGGTTGCAGTGAGCTGAGATTATGCCACTGCATTCCAGTCTAGACAACAAGAGCAAAACTCTGTCTCAAAAAACAAGAACAAAAGAAACAAACAAAGAAAATTTAAGACATTCCTTTAAGTGGCCTAATAGGAAAATGTAAGCCCTCACAAATTACATTCTGTCTTCTAATTCAATTGTTTCTGAATAATGGTAGGAATAACTTTTTACTTATACATAATCAATTTTCTGTTTTTTTTTTAACTCATAGATGTATTTGCTTGGATCCAGATATTTGCATGTCACCTTATTGCAATTCATCGCTATGCAAACTGTGGCACACAGTAGCAGCATGGTCATTCAAAACATTTTTCTGACCAATGTGATGAACTTTTAGTATATTTTCAAAGCAGGATAAGGTTACCTATTAGATATACTATCAATAGACTAGAGCTACTATTTAATCTTGGATTCTGACAAAATACATGTTAATCAACTGCTTGAGCCACAAACCAAATAAACTATCAGTTCTTTGTTTTCGTTGTTACAATTTCTTAAAATCTTTCATGAATTCCCCTTGAATTTTCCCATTTAAGTGACTAATTTATTCATATTAAAGCACAATGTTCTGATGGATTCATAATGTCCCCTAAAATCAACTCTGATCTATCTCAAAATAGGGGCTATAGTACTCTCAAAACAATTGTGCTGTATCTTAAAAATTTACGCTAATCTAATGCTTTCTACAATGCACGTATACTAAGCATGTTATATGTAAGCCTATGACTCAAACAGATTGGTTTCTTTGAAGATGTTCTCGTTGTCATACTTTATTAATGAACACTATTACCCTAAATTTTGGTGATACCTTGTACAATTCTATTCACCTTCTTATTTTTAAATAGGCACTTTTTACCACTTACAACTAACAATCCTAGTCCCTCTTCTCTGCATTTTCTACTTAGAATTATTGTAGTTCTTCTCCAGCCATGTATTTGTAGCATTCATTAAAATTTCTTGACTTGAGTACATCTCACATTTCCCCTCAAGTATGTGTTTCTTGTCTTCACACTACACAATTCATGTTTTGCCAGAGGCTCACTTTTTGATATCAAAATATATTAAATATTATTTAGGATACTATCTAATGCACTATTTATGCTTTTTCCCTTCTAAAATCATTAACCAGAAAAAGGCAAAAATACCACATGATCCCAAAGTCTTTTGATCCATGAACAAGACTTCAAAGCTTGGCCTGACATTTACACCCATACAAATCAAAACACTAATTATGTTCAGCAAATGTGAGGCCCTGTCTTTTCTTCAGACTTCTATTTCTGGATTTTATTCTCCATGTTACGGGCCTAACTATCTTTTCAAAAGATTTTACCAATACTTGTAAAGACATGTATAGGGCCACAGTGCTCTCCACACATTGATCTCATTTTGCTCTAGTTTTATGCTTTAAGTTTTTCTCTTTACCACTTCATCTAGATTGCAAAGTAGTTTTGCAATTGTGAATAGTGCCTTACTCTAATTTCTATGTCCCTTATACTTTTAGAACATGCTAATTACCTTTGGGATTCTGTGATCCTTGGATGTTTAATAAGTTTTGGTAAGATATTGCTTTATATTGCATTACTCTATATTGGTTTTAGATACATAACACAATGGATTTCTAAAATCCCACATAAGAAATGAAATCAATACTGTTCAATTACAGGTCCTGGTCCTGGTAATAACCAAATCTTATAGATAAAATATTGTCACTAACCATAATGCTTTCATTAGGGAATAGAATCATAGTTCTCCTATTCTGTCAACACGTATTTTCTAGTGACTGGCAAAGACTATTCCTGAATAAATGAACAAATGAGGTGGAATGAAGTGAATAAATGGAATAAATGAGAGAATGTGAATCAGGTTGGATGGTGCTTCTTTCTCCAAAAGTTCCAATTTACTTTCCACAAGAAGATGCT